CTGTTGCTTCAGCATCGACGGAGGCGCCGGCAGGAAGCGCAGCAGCAGCAGCAGCAGCAGCGTCTGCTGCAGGCTCCTCAGGCAGCAGCCACGGACTAAGTGCTACCTGCTGCTCCTCCTCATTGCTGCACTGCAGCAGCTGCTGCAGCGGGTTGTCCATGCTGCTGCTGGACGGGGGGCCCCCAGGCTGCCCTATGAGTCGCGGGCGACGAGGTTGGGGGCCCTTTGCTGCTGCTCATGAGTGTACATAAGTAAAAAAACAAATTAAATGTTTACAAAAGTAATAATTGACTACATTTCACTAATTTTTCAACGGGGAGCAGCTGCTCCCGCCAGATCTTGTGGGGCTGGGGGCTCGTGCCCTGCAGCCGGAAGACTCGGCAGCAGCAGCAGCAGCAGCACCAGCTGCTCCTGCTGCTGCTGGGGACGCTCGGGCTGGTTTTGTCTATTTTTTGGGGATTTTTAAAAGAATTAGAGTTGCGAGAAAGCCTCAGAAAGCCCCAGATGCCCCTCATCTCAGCTATCCTTGAGTCCGGGCTTGCTGCAAGCTAGCTAGCCATCAACTGCAGGGGCCCCCGAGACCCAAGCCCCCAGCAAACTCTACAAAGACAAGATCTGCTGAAGACCCGAAGTGGCTTTCTCTAGAATGACAAACATTCCCCAGGAAATGCGCGAGCGGGTGCTCGCTTCGAAGGTGCTGTTGCTGTTGCTGCTGCTGCTGCTGCTGCTGCTGCTGCTGCTGGGGCTCCTGCTGCTGCTCCAGAGCTGCTGCTGCTGCGGAAACTGCTGCTGCAGATGTCCTTGACTCGATGAAGCAGCAGTTGTTGACGCCTCCGTTGCTGCTGCTGCTGCTGCTGCTGAAAGAAGGCAGAGGGCAGCCTAGCCGCTGCTGTGTCTTCGTCTTGCACCCACGCATTGCCGTTGCTGCTGCTGCTGCTGCTGCTGCTGCTGCTCCAGCTGCAGCTGCCGTGTGGGTGTTTGCGTTTTCTCAGCTTGTAGATGCAGAAAAAGAAGTGAAGAAGGTGAGTGCTGGTTTGTGCTGCCTTAGCCTCTGCCTGGGGTGTACAGACAGCTGAGTGCGTAGGGCTTTCTGCTGCAGCGGCGGACACTCCGCGGTGAGCCATTTGCTGCTGAAGTTAAATGTTATTTATTTTTATTTGATTTCTTTTCATTTTATTTTTAAACTTAGTTTCTTTTAGATTTGCCTTAGTAGGGAAAGAGAGCAGCAGCACTTGGCAGCCAGCCGCACAGCCAAGCAGCAAACCAGCAGCAAATGCAGCACAGAGAGAAGCAAACGGCAGCAAAAAAGCAGCAAAAAAGCAGCAAAAATAGGCAAGCAGTAGCAAACAAGCAGCAAGCAAGCAGCAAAAGTAGCCAAACAGCAGCAAACAAGCAGCAAACAAGCAGCAAAAGTAGCCAAACAGCAGCAAACAAGCAGCAAACAAGCAGCAAAAATAGCCAAACAGCAGCAAACAAGCAGCAAACAAGCAGCAAAGTTAAGCAGAGCCGCATGCAAACATATAAGACAGAGGATTGCATCAAAGCGCTTCTGTTGTCTTGCAGCTCGAAAGAGAAAACCACAACCTTAAAGCAGTGAGCAGGCCCGCCGCACCTCTTGCTGCTGTTGCTGCTGCTGCTGCCGCTGTTGCTGCTGCTGGAGTCGCCGCCGTTGTGGCTTCTTTCGCTGCTGCTGTCCCTGCGGCTGTTACTGCTGCTGCTGCTGCTCCCGCTGCTGCGCCTGTCGCTGCCACTGCGCGGTGCTCGCTGCTGTTGCTGCTGCTGCTGCTGAGGCCGTGTCTGTTGCTGCTGCTGTGCGGTGCCCGCTGCTGCAGCAACTCTCAATCAAGACGCAGCTGCTGACCGGCGTGAGCGTGGAGCCAGCGGCCCCCTACCCGCAAACCCCCTTGCCCTCTTAGCTGCTTATGCTGCACTGTTGGGGCCTTAGCTGCTGCTGCACTTGTGGGGCCCCGCTGCAGCAGCTGCTGTTTGTGTCTGCCTGCAGAAAGTAGACCCCAATGATATGGCAGCAATAGAGGCGGAGCTGCAGCAGGAACACGAGCAGCTGATGAAGGAGCGGAAGGAAGAAGTTGCTGCTCTCAGGGACCACATAAAGAAGCTCGACACTCTCGTCACAGAGCTGCAGCTGCAGCAGCAGCAGCAGCAGCAAAGCTTTCTTGCCAAACTCCTCAGCTGCAACTGCAATGCACGCGCCGACGACCAAAGCACAGAACGCGCCTTTGACGCGCCCCAAAAGAACAGCTAGCCAGCTAGCTAGCCAGCTAGCTAGCCGGCCAGCTAGCTAGCCAGCTAGCGAGCGAGCTAGCTAGCTAGCTAGCTAGCTAGCTAGCTAGAGAGTTGTGCAGATTGCTGCAACCGAACCAAGCTGCTGCTGTATCGGCTGCTGCAGCTGCTGCAGCCGCCGCAGCTACTGCTGCCTGAGGTGCAGCAGATCCAAGTAGACAGTGAGTCGGCAGGGGGCAGCTGCTGCTCCCCGAAGCCAGACCCGTAGACCTAACCCCCACCGCCGCCCCAGAGGTGCTGCTGCTGCTGCTGCTGCTGCTGCTGCAGCTGCTTGTGCGCAGCTCTCCACTGGGGGGCCCGCAGCAGGGGAAACTAACTGAGCACCAGAGGCTCTTTTTCAATGTTTCTTTCTGTCAGCAGCAGACACAGCAGGTCCTAAAGAGTTACCAAACAACACTTACATTCAAAAATTAGGGTATTAAACGCGAACCCCATCTTGGGGTTCCCTTCTAGGTGGGTGCCCCCAGGCGCCCCATGGTGGGGCCCCTCAGGGCCCCCCTTGGGGCCCCACAGGGCTTGGGGCCTTGGGGCCCCACAGGGCCCCACTTGGGGCCCCAAAGGGCCCCTTTTGGGGCCCCACAGGGCCCCTTTTTGGGGCCCCAGAGGGCCCCTCTTGGAGCCTTGTAGGAGCCTGCAAAGGGCAGTTGCTTTTGGGGGCCCCCTGTTGTGCCCCCGGCGGAAACCCCGTGGGGGCCCCCAATCGGTATATATATATATTATCCCTAAGGCTAGGCACTGTGGGGCCAGCTGCTGCAGTTAGCTGTGCATTTTCCTGGGCTTTTGCTGGGGGCCCCTTGCGGGGTTTGGGGCCCCCCAAGAACTTTGTGGGGGGCAGGGGGCCCCTCTTTCTGCGCAAAGCGCATCTTTTATCAAGCCTCAAGAAACTAGTATTTCTACTGACTGCTCTTCAGTCTCAAGGGCCTTTGGGGGCACCCATGGGGGCCCCCATGAGGGGCCCCACGGGGGCCTCCCGCGCGGCAGCGAAGGCTGCCAAGGCGATGCGGGGGCCCCAGGTGGGGCCCCAGGCCCCTAGAAAGCCTCATGGCTTTCTTAGGGCCCTGTGTGGGCCCCTAGAGGCCCCTAAGAAGCCTCTAGGAGCCCCCAGGGACCCCTGGGGGGACCTGGAGGCCCCTTAGGGGCCCCAGGTGGCTCAGAGGGGCCCCTGATGATGTTTAGAAGCCCCCTAATGGCCTCTAGAGGAGCAGAAGGGCCCCTGGGCATGCAGCTAAAAAGCCCATGTTCACATTTTACTTCGGGGCCCCTGCTGAGACCTAAAAGAGGGTGAGGATGGTGAAGGAGGCGTACAGTAAAAAAATCGGATACCCTACCAAGACCCGCTGCTCTTCCAAACGCAGCGCCTGCAGCAGCCGCAGCAGCAGCAGCAGCAGCGGTGGACGCGCGGCGCCGCGGCAACGTGTTGTTGCGCGGGCAGCAGCAAAGGCGGGGTGTCTGTAGCTGCTGCGCGGGCAGCAGCAAAGGCGGGGTGTCTGTACACCGCAGCAGCCTCACCGCTTCGAAGAACGCAGAGGCCGTGTAAGTGGCCCAGCCGACCCCCAGAGCAGCAGCAGCGCAGCGAATTAAAACATTTCTTTTGATGAAGAGAGTGGCCAGCGCAACTGCTGTCACGGGAATCAAAGAATAGCCCAAGATCGAAGCTGTGCGGTATATGTCGATGCCTTCCCCCTGAAAAGGAAAAACGAACTTCAACTCTTCAAGTTTCAACAAAAAAGTAAAAAGAAATAAATTGCACAGACACACGGACACCGGCTGCAACGCATGCAGCAGCACAGCGTGCGAGGCTGCGCCGAAGCCACCAGCAGCAACAGCAGCAGCAGCAGCAGCAGCAGCAGCACGAGCAGCAGGAACAGCAGCAGCAAGGTTAAAGGAGCTCCAAAGAAGGAGAAGCAGACACAAAAACTTGGAAATAATTCAATTTTAACTTTCAACTTACTCTTGACATTAAATTGAGCAGCAAATAAGTGGAAATGGACCCTATGATGCTCATGCCGTACAGACACCCGAACGTCGCCTTGCCAGCCTGAAACACTCAGCACCTGCTAAACCCTAAACCCTGAACCCTAAACACTCAAGCCTCCGGAGAAGGAGAGCGTGAGCTTGTCGCTGCGGCAGAGTCGCGAAACCGGCAGCAGCGCGCGAACAGCAGCAGCTGTTCCTGCTGCTGGTGCTGCCGTTGCTGCAGCAGTTTGCTGCAGCAGCAGCAGCAGCAAACTCAACAGCAGCAAATACGGACTAGGAAAAGAAGAACTGCGAGAAATATGGCAATCAAAAGGGGGCCGCACAAATCGCTGTCCTTGAGCAGCTCGTGGTCGGCTCTGAGACGCACAAACCCTAAACCCCAAACCCTAAACCCTCGTTTCAAACCCTAAACCCCAAACCCTCAACTCTCAACCCAAACCCTTCGTCCTAGACCCTTGCCTCGCCGACAGTCATAAACCCTAATTCTGAGTTGAAACCCTAGACGCTTTGCAGCAGAAAAAGCTGTTACTGCCGCCAAATGTGCTGCAGCACAAGTCTCTCGCCCTCCACCCTAAACCCTAAACCCTCGTGGCCCCTAAACCCTAAACCCCAAACCCTCCTCACTTGCTAAAGAGCAAAACAGCCTTCATGCGTCGCCAAATGTCTTGAGGGTTTATCCCCAACTCTGCAAAAAAAAACTTCAGCAGCAAACTGCAGTTTTAAAGAATGGCGCTGCTGCGCTGCTGCTGCGCTGCTGCTGCGCTGCTGCTGCGCTGCTGCTTACCTTCCAGCAGCGGCGGCTCATTTTCAAACGGGTCTTCTGGCTCGTCTTGGGGCCCTGCTGCTGCTGCTGCTGCTGCTGCTGCTGTGTCTGGCTCCTGCTGCTGCGCACTGAAGAGACGCAGTACACTCTTCAACGAAAACAAACCTCCACCACGGGGGCCCTGCTGCCCGTCGCCCCCCATGGGGCCCCCCATGGGGCCCCCACTAAGGGTCCCTGCTTGGCCCCCCATGGGGCCCCCCATAGGGGCCCCCATGGGGCCCCCCATGGGGCCCCCCGGGAAGCCCCCATGGGCCTCGTACTGCGCAGCAGCACCGGCTAGAGGGGCCTCATTGCGCTGAAAGTCTCCCTGAAGCAGCCAGAAGCAGCAGCAGCAGCAGCAACACCGTTAGCAGCAGCAGCAGCAGCAGAAGGGGCAGCAACAACGCGAGCAGCAGCAGAGGCAGCAAGGATGAGAGACAGTAAGCTGCAGGCCCTTTCAGCAGCAAAAGTCTGCGGCCCTCTTGTAAGTGCGCAGCTAGCTGTGTGTGCAGCTAGCTGACAAGCTAGCTAGCTAGCTAGCTAGCTAGCTAGCTAGCTTGCCAGCTAGCTAGCTGCTGCAGCACTCTGCAGCAAACTGACCTTGTTTGCCCCATAGTAATATGACCCATCTGCTGCCTGGGGGCCCTCTAGGGGGCCCCCCGGGGGCCTCACGGGGGGCCCCCGGACTTGGGGGGCCCTGGGCCTCTCCACGGGGCCCCCCACCGCGTAGTAGGGCTGCTGCTGCAGCTGCTGCTGGTAATGCTGCTGCTGAGGGTAGGGCTGGGGCTGCTGCCCGTAGGGGGCCCTGTGCTGCTGCGGCAGCTGCTGCTGCTGCTGCAGCGGCGGCTGCAGCGGCTGCTGCTGCTGCTGCTGCTGCTGAAACTGCTGCGACCCAGGAAGCACACGGCCCCCCGAGAGTCTCATGGAGCCGCCCTTGGCGTCTCCAGCGTCACACCCGTACGGCTGCTGCGGATGCTGCTGCTGCTGCTGCCCATAGGCCTGCTGCTGCTGCTGCCTGAATTGCTGCTGCTGCCCATAGATCTGCTGCGGCTGCTGCTGCCTGAATGGCTGCTGCTGCTGCTGAGGCGCATACACCTGTTGCTGCGGAGGCCCTGCTGCCGACACATTTCCGTAAATCGGCTGCTGCTGAGGCTCCGGAACCTGTCCAGGGCTTTGCTGCTGGAATAGCTGTTGCTGCTGCTCCACTGGTTGCTGCAGCTGCTGCTGCTGCTGCTGCTGCGGCTGCAAGTCTGCAGCATCAGGAAAGCCTCGACGGGGCTGCAAGCCGCCCGCCTGGCTGTCGGCGTAGCGCCGCCTTATCTGGGGCTTATCTGCCATTTGCTGTGTCAAGACGCAGCAGCAGCAGCAGCAGCAATGGTAGCAGCAGCAGCAGAAACAGCAGCAGCTGCGGCAAAGCGGAGAGTGTTGAAATAAAATTGGCTTTGCCGCTCTGCACTAACGAAAAAGACGTGCTGATGCTGCTGTCGCTACGCTTTGCCTGCTGATGCTGCTCAGCTGCTGCTGCTGTCGCCGCTGCTGCAGCTGCAGCTGCTGCTGCTCTGCAGGGCAGCAGATCCCCTGAAGTTAAGTGTAACGAATGAGTCAATGAACGACTCCTTTGTCTAGTCGCAGCAGCTGCTGCTGGTGTTTCCGCTGCTGCTGTCGCTGCAGTCCCTCCTTTGCTGCTGCTGCTGCTGCTGCTGCTGAGCACAGCGCGCGCCTAGCCCATATAGTGCATGTCTTGCTAACTGTCTAGAGAGTTGCTGCTCTCCAGAACACAAAGAAAAGGAGAAAACAAATTGAGCAGAAATACAGATAATTCGGGTGTATGTACACTTCACGCGCCCCGTCGAGAGGCCGCTGCTTTCTCTGAAGGCAGGCTTGATCCCAGGTGCTACGGCAGCAGTTGCTGCTGCCGCTGCTGCTGCTGTCGGGGCTTGCTGCTGTGGACCCCACAAAGTGACATTTGCATGCGGCCTCGCGCGTACATCTGTATATTTGTTTTTTGTGGATATTTTTTTGAAGAAAAGGACCTGAGGGTTGCGCTTCCTGCTGCTGTTGCTGCTGCTGCCGCTGCTGCTGCCGCCGGTGCTGCCGCTGCTGCTGCTGCTGCAGCAAATCGAAGGAAAATGTACCCGCTTCTCCTCCAGGGCCACGACAGGCCACTCACTTGGGTTCAGTTCAACAGAGATGGAGACCTTATGTTCACATGCGGCAAGGTGGGCCACCGGCAGCAGCAGCAGCAGAAGCAGGAGCAGCTCCCAGAGCGCCGCAGCAGCGCAGCAGCAGCCGCATTAAGGCAACACGAATCCTCTTGCCTGCAGATTCTGATTAGCTTCCTCTGTAGGGGACGAAGCCGAGCAGCAGCAGCATGCAGGGGTGTTACAGCCGCCGCTGCTGTGGCAG